GATAGATAGATAGATAGATAGATATAGATATATACATTAATGTGTATGTGTATATGGATATATATATATATATATATATATATATATATATATATATATATATATATATATATATATATATATATATATATATATATATATATATATATATATATATATATATATATATATATATATATATATATATATATTAATGTGTATGTGTATATGGATATATATATATATATATATATATATATATATATATATATATATATATATATATATATATATATATATATATATATATGTGAGTGTGTATATATATATGTATATATATATACATATGTATATATATATATATATATATATATATATATATATATATATATATATATATATATATATATTTATATATATATATATATATATATATATATATATATATATATATATATATATATATATATATGTATTATATATATATATATATATATATATATATATATATATATAAATATATGTATATATGAGTGTATGTATGTGTGTGCACATGTATACATACATAGATAGACGTGATATATACACACAAATATGGCATTATAAGAACCTAACATAGTTTGTGAGAATTATGTCTCTGCAAAACCTAAAACAATGATAACATCAATGCTACAGTTATAATCAGTAATAACATTCATCAATATTGACAACAGCAACATCAACACAGATAAGGACCAGCAGCGACACGAGCATAATCTGACTGAGGGACGAGGCACTTTGCCATACAGGGGCGCAGTGACTCATGAATTTCTAAAATCTATTCCCTCCTCAGGAGGTAGAGAGGGACGATGGGTGGGGAGGGGGGAGGAGGGGGGAGCACCACCGATAAGGAAAATAATATGGATACGCCCCGCCCCCCCCCCCCGCCCCCCTCGTTGTTGATATTGATATTGATAATCAATAACAAGAACAAACTAAGATATTTTTTTTTATTAATTATCATAGATATGAGGTTTTAGTTAATAAAGATACAGATTACAAAAAGGAAAACGAAAAAAGTGTGAAAAGTTAATATGTAACATTAAAATGATAAATATGTGACAGCATAAACGATGCTTCCCGAATATTCCCAGACCTACTCTCGGCAGCCATGTTGTTACGTCATTATAGTCGTTGTCATTCATGTCACGTGACCGACAGACCATTCTAGAATAGATCTCGCTTCCTATTAATAAAACACCATTTAAAAAAAAAGTATTATTAGTCACTGTAGAGAATTCAGTGACGTCGTCCACTTCGGCGCTATTTTTAGTATGCCTTTTTAGCCACTCTGGAAATATGTTCTTGGGATAGAAGATATCTAAAGGCATCAGTGATAATGGAATATTGGTGATGGTAATGTTAATGACAATGAAGATAAATGTAACTTTTACTATCACATCATTAATCATAGTAGAGTCATAATAACAGCTATAATAATGATAATGATAATGAAATGGTGATAATGGTGATAATGATGATAATCATTATATCAACAACACTAATGATAGTAGTAGCACTACTACTAGTAGTAGTAGCAGTAATAATGATAATAAAACAATGATAGTAGTAGTATTGATAATGATTATAATGATTATCATGGTGATGATGATGATAGTAAAAACAGTAAAGATATTAATAACGACAACATTGATACTAATACGCACAATAAGGATAATAATAATAATAATAATAATAATGATAATAATAATAATAACAATAACGTAATAATAATGATAGTAATAATAATAGATATATCAATAATCCTGATATATTAATAGTAATCCTAATAGAAACAACAATGATGATATAATGATAGCAACAACACCAATGGTAACGATAAGAAGAGAGAGGATTATGGGTCCGTTGAAAAAGAACCTGACGTCAGCAGCAATTATATAATAATAATTATGTTGGTAACGTCTTAACCTCTTCTTCTACTCTTTTTTATAATATAACTTATTTGACAATCGACCTTGAAGGCTCCTCCTGGAGACCAAAGCAGGAAGTGTCATAATGTTTAGCGGCCTCCCTGACAGCGTGACAGCAGAGCACACGTCAACATCTTACAAGATTTACTCGTCCTCCCCGAGTCACAGAATCTGGCTGAGGAGACGATGGAAGATTTCCTCTTTTTCAGGACGTCAGACTTTTGGAAATCGTAGATCAGATTCTCGTGATAATACTCGTAGGGGTCTTATGAGGAACACGTCTGTGTCATGAAACGAATATTAGGTGTCTTAAAGGTAATAATGATATTTCTTATACGTAGAGAAATACATACTTATATGCATATGCATGCATACATGCATGTATGTATGTATGTATGTATGTATGTATGTATATACATATATTATATATACATACACACACACACACACACACACATACACACACACACACACACACACACACACACACACACACACACACACACACACACACACACACACACACACATATATATATATATATATATATATATATATATATATATATATATATATATATATATATATATATACATATATATATATATATATATATATATATATATATATATATATATATATATATATATATATATATACATATATACACATACACACATACACATTAATATATATGTATATATATACATACATATATATGTATATATATATATATATATATATATATATATATATATATATATATATATATATATGTGTGTGTGTGTGTGTGTGTGTGTGTGTGTGTGTGTGTGTGTGTGTGTGTGTGTGTACATATATATGTACATATATATATATTCACACAAAGATACATACATACATACATGCATACATATATATATATATATATATATATATATATATATATATATATATATATATATATATATATATATGTATATATATATATATATATATATATATATATATATATATATATATATATATATATATATATATATATATATATATGTATATTGTAGAGTATATGTTTATTTGTTTGTGCGTG